GATAGGGGTGTCCTCCTGAATTTACAGGTGACGCTGCTGCATCAGCTTGTCAGCTGCGGTCCTAGGCAGTCACCCTGATCCCCAGCAAGAATGTACAGGGAGCATCCACAGCTGATGCCAGCATGCACTCAGCTCTGCTTCTGGCATGCGGGGTGGGAGCTGGTGTAAGCTGTGGATGGGGCTGGGATGTGCCCGCCTGTTCAGCATGACGCAGCAGCCAGAACCAACGGCTCCCTATGGGCTGGATCCTATGACTTTGTGGTTGGCAACTTGCAGGCTGGATACAATCAGTTGGTGGGCCAGATCCAGCCCGTGAGCCGTATTTTGCCCACCCCTGATCTAGGTCTTTGAGGTTCCCAATCAGTTGCAATGTGGATACTCTCCATTAGGTTCTTAACACTGGGCCTACCAGTAGAATAACATATACTACCCAATTCAAGCAAGGGTTGCAGAATATGACCCTAAATAATCAGCTAATCCTGTAATAACTGATGAGCAAAAATGCAACATTTCACTGTGCGGGGATATACTTTATTCATGGCAGAACTTAAGTAATTCAGACTTTTAGACTGATCTTAAAACTTGGGCCAAGTGGTTGCAAAACACACTGTGCTTACATTCCTGTGTGACAGTCTTAAACACATTTATTATCATAATCAAACTGTCAGTGATAAAATGCGGTATAAAATGCAGAGTATAAAAACATATTGCCTCACACTACCTAATACCGTTGCTGAAAAAATGAAGCCTGTTGCCATTGTGTTTTTGGCTGCCTTAGCATATTCCCCCTTGGTCTCTGGTGAACCTGCAGTCAAAGCGAATGGCATTTTTTTAAATAGACAACATTACAGTTCAATAAGTGTTGCTAATGGAGGACCTTGGGGTACCTGGACCTGGATTGATATGTGCCCAGAACACTTCTATGCTATGGGATTTAGTATAAAGGTAACTGCAGCTGGTCAGTCTTGTGAGATCCTTGTCAGTGCTATAGGCCCTTAGCACGTTAACTGTGTTCCTCTTTTATTTCTCTGTTTTAGGTGGAGGAGTATGGAGGAGCTGATGATGACACTGCACTCAATGGGATCCGTTTATATTGCATAAACCCCAATAATACTGATAGCACTGTCTACAGTATTGAGTCTGATTCTGGAAAGTAAGTTTAATGATATTTAATGTTTGATCTTTAGTAAATCTGATGAGGAGGAATCTGAGAACTAGTTGTACTATCAACCATCATGGAACCAGCTGTTGTGTCCAGATGGTTGTTTTTAATGCTGGAGATATTATTGCTTACCTTTCCTAGGCCACTTTATGATCCAGAGTATACCAATGCAACCCCCATAGTCTTGGATGGGCCTCAATGTTTTAATTATGCATGATTTGTAAAGAAAATAGTTACAGTTTAAATATAAGAAGTTATTTGTATTATGTTACAATTTCTTAGGTTTCACTTGAAACACTACTTTGATGTTCTTTAAAAGTTAAAATTGACACTCCGTCCTCACGTGACCTTTCGCCTTTAAAATTTCTTGTTAATAGCATCCATTAAAGAGGTCCTCTAGATGTGAAATGTTGTTGCATTAAAATATGTCTAAATGGGTAAAAATAGTTCTGTATTCTGTTATTAAATTCTCCCTCAGGCTATGTGAAAGAGCTGCACAATTAAGGTAAAATGACTAACAGGAAACCTGACCCAATTGGATGTACTGGCATAGGCCCTCTAGCTTCATGGTACCCTGCATTAGTAGAGGGTTCAGCAAATAGTCTGATTAGAGTTCACTACTACACAGGGGACACACTGAGAGTGGCCATAAATACAATCCATCAAATACATAAAGTTAAAGAAACTAGAAAAAATTGAGAACTATTTTCCTTTAATTTTTTCAGTAAGGGCCATCTTTGGAATTATTTGTAATGGTAATAGGTAAAAAAGGTTGAAACAAAAAAATTTAAGTCCCTGCTGTCCATTTTTAAAGGTTATCACCTTCAACTTCAACTTTGAATTCTTGATCCCTATCAGTCTGTATGAATGTCTTCAGATAATCTCAAGAATTTGTTTTTAAACGTAATTTGTGTGTTAACAGATCTGTAGTTTACTGGGTCAAATGACTCAGCTATCTATTGGGTTTATATCATGTCTGAGGACAGACTAGTCCAGTATCCTGTCCATGACAATGGCTAAACCCAGGTGCTTCAGAAAAAGGTGCAAGAACCCCACAGTTAGAAAATGATGACGGGTCATCTACTCCTGTTTACTCCCTAGTAGTTAGAAATCTGCTCCAGCCCTGGAACACATATCCAAAATCTTTCTTGGCATTAATTATGACAGCTCTGGGTCTTCTTGTAGCCTTATAAATAACCAAATTTTGAAGTGTGAGTAGAACATAAATCCAAATTTTGAAATGTGGGTATGTTTTTCCAACTACATAATTACTTTTACGATGGGCAACAAAGAGGTGACTCTCCCTTATTTTAAATTGGTATTGGAAGCAATATTCTAGTCTTACTTATACTGATGTAAGTGGATTTATTTAAATACCTTCTTCTGTTGCACACACATCCACAGGGAGTCCTATTTTCTCAGGTTTCCTCAAGTTTGACACGTCAAGCTGCAAACAGAATGCCTATATCTTTTTTTCTCCTTTCAAATAGATTTATCCCAAAGATGTAGGGGAATATTTTTATCTGGTGATCTCTTCTTATAATTGTGTTGTCAGTATATTTAGAGTATAAGACAAGTGTTGAGGAAATGGCATCCCAGTACACTCAGAAGAATTGATGCTCAACATATAATAAATAATACATCATTTAAAAAAATCTGGCATCTTTACACTTTAAAACATTAATTATACTCAACTAAAATAACAATTGAATGACATTATTGACAATTCTGAAAATTAAAATGGAAAATTTATTTAAACTTTTTAAATTGCAATTTTCTTTTCTCACCATAGGTTTGGACAATGGTCAATAATCACTTGGTGTCCAAGAGGGTTCCTCGTATCTTTTCAACTGAAAGTTGAAACACCACAAGGAATTATAGATGACACAGCAGCAAATGGTATCAAATTTCGCTGCACCAGTGGTGCAATCATAGAAGGAGTTGGTAGCACATTTGGTGATTATGGGGGATGGAGTAATACCTGTATAAGAGGTGGAATCTGTGGCATTCAAACCAAACTAGAATCATACCAGGGGGCTTTTGTGGATGACACAGCACTTAATGATGTTCGCTTCTTCTGTTGTGACTAATTTTACGTTGCTAAATCTTGTATCTAGGATCTTCTAAAGTATAATACCTGGGATTTTCTGAACAGAACCTTCTGTTCCTTTCAGTTTGGTTTAAAGCTATACTGAGTACCAGTAAAAGTAATTTTCTGTCTGCCTCTTAAAAAGAATCAACAACAAACTAGGTTTCCTTAGAAATACCCTGCTTCCTCAATGCTTCCTCAATGAAGATATGAAGGGTAGGATTGATTTTTATTGGAATTCTCCTATGGCATTAATATGAGGGAAAGTCAAATAGTTACCAAAAACTCCATCCCACAATTACTTCTCCTTCCTGCCAAGTTTACCCCTCCAGTATTATAAGGATTCAAAGATATTTGCACTGCTTGACTTCTCTCCTAATTTAAGATTCCAAACAAAATATTGCTCCAAATGGACAAACCGGCACATTTATATTGCTTATAAAAACAATTTCCCTTAACTCCAGTAGTAGACAGAGGGAATACAGGATCAGGCTCCCAGCAAGTGAACTTTGATAAGGAAATTATGAGTATGACTTACTTATAACAGTGAACTGGGAGACCCAAGGCAAGCAAGGGGCTGGAGGGTTTCCCTTTTAAAATCAACAGTGCCAACATCCTTACTCTATTAAATAGCCAGCACGTGGGTACGGAAAGGAAGGAAAAGCCTATATGTCCTCCTGATGTAGCTATAAAGGCCTACTATTTACTTTCATGTTGTGCTTTTAGCTGGGACTTCTACAACTGAAGTGATGCTTTTCTGTAGTACATTAATTAAGTCCAAAGATTTATCAGCCCAAACAGAATGCCATGAATAAATACTATTTCAAAATTCATTTTGGTTGTGGGTTTTTTTTCTCATCACAAATCCTTAATATTTTGCTTTGGTTGAGTGTCCAAAAGTCTAATCGTGGAACATTTGTTGAAGACTTGTTTTAAAACTTCAAGAAAACTAAAGCAGGAAATTGTAAATGTATCCATTTCTTCTGAGACTGGGTTATAGCAGGAGACAATGGATCAAAGACAGAAGGCTTTATCCTATTTCCATTTAAGTCCATAAGAATTTTTAATGAAAGCAGGAGTGGGCCAAATAAATGCCAGTTTACATACTCTGCAACCTCAGTGACTGAATGTATATTAAAAGGAATATATTAATTATGGCTTACACAAGTAACTGTGTACTGCTTAGATACATACAAACCTACTTTGTTTTATGAGTCAAGTGCATGTTACAGCTTTGCTAAGTTTTCATCCTAACAAGGCTGACTTCCTCTGAGAGCATGTCAAAAGTTTCCCAAACATTAATCTTCCTGTTGTCTCAGAAGTTACAGACTTCGTTAAAGATATACTCCCTAGCAGTTTATTTTCCAAGTTTCCTTGAAAAGGCAAACTTCTTCCTTCAGCCATAGTATAGCTGAAGAGTCTCAAGAGATGCTCAGAGTACTTTTTTTTTTCTTGTTCAAGAGAATGAATGGCAACTATAGTTGGGGCTGGGTAAACAAGGTGCCTGTTGCATTTATTTTAGCAAGACTTTCTAAGGAAAGTATTCTTGTCTTCCCCTGAAGACTGTAGCAGACCCGTGAAACCTTTTTTTTATTTCATGCAGCAGTGCATGCGTCTGAAATCCCAAATGAAAGTGACAGTGAGGTTTGGGCAGTCTTCAAAAAAGCCTATCAGTCATTGCTTATCTAGCACAGGTGAGCATTCAAATTGCCACAGCTGATTTGCATTCTTGTTACATGGTCGTAAGAACAAATTTGCTTCAGGTTCACTCTGTACTGCTTCCATGCATTTACCAGACAGGATGTGGATGATCATTCCACTCTACATGAGGGGGGAAAAAAGAAAGAATGGAAAGAAAAAAAAAAGGGAATTTCAATGGTGATTAAAAAAAACCAACACATTGATTACTTTAAAAGCTCTAGGATTGGTCCTTAGAGGTGATGGGGACCCACAAGTCCTCCTGAGATAAGTAAGAACTCTAGGGGCCTTTATACATATGCTCTGGGAGGGGGAAGAGGGAGCAATTTAATTAGAGTGGCTCTGAAAGCCACTCTAAAGTGCCTGGAGCGTCGGGGGGGTGTGGGGGGGGGGGGGACTCATAGGGGAACTGTGGAGGCATGGGTCTCCTCCCCACCCTCCCCCCATGGTGCACAGTCCAACCCTGCAGCAGCAGCAGCCAGTAGCAGGCCTTCATGTCACTCATTGCCCACTGCAGGCAGAGGCACCCGGCAGCGCGCGGTGCCTCCTGAGACCCAGGGGCTACATGTGGTGCATGGAGCCAGCCTGGTCCACTGGCATGCACCTTGGGGTAGGATTGGGCCAATTCCTGCCACCACCCAGGGCTCCCAGCACTGCATACAGGAGCCACACACCATTGGGCTGGGCCAGCTCCTGCCTCCACATCAAAGGTGCATGCCAGCAGACTGGGCTGGCTCTGTGTGCGCGCCACCTGTAGCTCCTGGGTCTCAGGTTGCACCATGTGCCACTGGGGCTTCTGTCTGCAGTGGGCCATGAGCGTCCTGAGGGCTGGCTGCTGCTGCAGGTGGCGGGGGCTGTGCTGTGGTAGGGGCAGGCGGGGCACCTACCCCTCACTCACAGTCCCCCCTGCCCCACACAGTTCCCCCCATTCCCACATCCCTGCTTACCAGGACAGAGCCTGGGTCCGACTGACTACTGCCAGCCTTGCCCGGCTTCTATTCCTCCGGCACCCGAGGCAGTGTGCTGGAGCAGCAGGGCCATTCGGCAGGCATAGAGACACTGTGGCCAGGTGGTAGAGCACGGGTGGGAAAAATGGCTGATCTGCCCAACACCTGGACTCCATTTCCCAGCAGCCCCTGCCCTCATGGCTTGGGCCAGTCACCATGGAGACTCCAGCTGCATCTGCTGGGAAAACTCAGGCTGGGGTTGCCATGGAGACCAGCCTGAGCCATGCTAGCAGAGCAATGCAGGGGGCTCTTCTGGAGGCACTGGGAACTTGGGATGAGGGCAGCTTGCTTTGGAGCCAGGGCAGAGCCACAATCTGTAGCCTGCACACTCTGGGCAGGGGCATGCAAGCAGGGGATCGCGGCTCTGCCCTGGCTCTTTGCAGCAGTGACAGTCTGGTCTGGAGCTGAGGCAGAGCTGCGATCCCCTGCCCAGAGCATACAGATCACAGCTCTGTCCTTGCTCTGGAGCAAGCTGCCCCCATCCCAAGTTTCCAGCGGCTCCAGAGCAGCTCCCTCCTCTGCTCTGCCACACGCACTGCCAGCGCAGCGCAGGCTGGTCTCCATGGCAACCCCAGCCTGAGCTTTCCAGGTGCGGCTGGGGTCTCATGGCATGCCTCTTGCAGCATCTCAAACTGCTTTGAGACACTCACTCGTGTAGATGCAGCTCCTATGACTGAAGTGATGATGGAGTAACTGGACATTTCCTGTACAGTCCAGGAGCCCTGCAGGAGATTTCTTACCCTACAGGAAGAATTCCACTGAATCATACTGAGTTTCTAAAATAAGAAAGACATCTATCTTGCAAGACGGAGTGGATTTTAAAACGCACTCAATTTCCCAAAGAGCAGAAGGGCTTCACACTTTCTGCATCAGCTCCCAGAATCTGGCCCTCTGAAGTCTCTCCCAAGCTGCAAAGCAGAACCAGACTTTTCTCTGCTGCAAGGGTCTTTTGTGCCTGAAGAATTACTAAAGTTACTTTCGTAACCATTGATTGATGTATTCCAGAATGCTCTGCAAATGAAACGGCTTGGGCTTACACTGCAAAAATCTACGGCATGTGGATTTAGAGTGTGCTTGCTTTGCTCCTTACTGGGTGCATCTACATGTGCAATTGGTGTGAAGCAATAAACTCTGGAGGTTATTGCTTCCAGGCATGCCATTTGAACGTGCACCTGGGACCACAGCATATCGAGCCAGGTCAGAGCAACCCCACCTGGCAGGAGGCCCTGGGCATCAGTCTGCCAACTCGGAGCTGCTCCCCCTTGGCTCAACATGCTATGGAGGGATTGGCTAGAGCATGAGGGTGCTCCAGTGAAGGGCTAGGCGGCAGGCAGTCCCCATACAGAAGCACCCTCATGCCCCAGCTGGCCCTGTCAGCATCTACATGTGCAGGGCTGCGGAGGAAAAAAAAAAAACTCCACAGCAGGATACTACTTGTATTTATAAGTACTACCCTGATGCAGAGTTTTAGTTTACTCCAGCTTAATAGCCCTGCACATGTAGACGCCAAGATATTTACTGCAAAGCTAATTCGTTTACTCTGAAGTAAACATCTCGTGCACACATGCTCACTCTTAACTACATTTGTACTGCACAGTTATTTTAAATGGGACAAATATCATCAGAATATCTTGGTTCCAAATAGGGATTCAGTGAAACCTGAAAATTTCATGTACCCACTTCTATCCCCTTCTCTTCCTTTCTCCTCTGTTCCCCATCTCCACAATTTTTAAACTGTTTTCAGCTACCTGAGATGCATTAAAAAAATCACTACCCACCTCCTGGACATCCCAGTGCTGTTGATTGTTTTCTGCTCCTTCTGTACAGTTTTGAAAGATCACCGTGTCATGTCTGATATCAAAGCAAAGCTGCGGAGCAGAACCAGACCGGATTTCCTTCATGCTGCTATATTCAAAGTCCTAAAATATGAAGGATTTGTTTGCGTGAATAAAGTTGAAGGACACTCCAATTCATTTTAGATGCTAGATCCAAAAATAATTTCCTGTCTTTGTTTATGAAGTAACTAAGAAAATAACAGAGACCCAATGAACTTGAGCTTGCAAACCAGTCTCCTTACAGGTAGTTCTTGCATAACAACTTCACCAGGACTATTTTTTTTCAGAAGCAAAGGTTTTCAGGTGTGGACTGAAGTGTAAAATAGATCCAGAATATAACATTTATGGGAAACACAGTATTTCTCCTGTTTAGAAATAAAATATGCTTTGGGTGGAGGGACTTTCACAACTTAAGTCAACACTGTGGTTAAAGGTATGATGGCAGCTTGTGCAGACATATGCAAGCTAGCTTTAAGCTAACTAATTCTGGTGCAGAAACGTGCAAGCTAGCTGTAAGCTAACTAATTCAGGTACGTATATCTATAGCACAGAGCAAAACAACCCACAGACATCAGGAAGCTTATAAGGAGTGGAAGCTTGGACAAATAACTACGGAAGAATATAAGAGCATTGCTTGGGCACACAGGGATAAAGTCAGGAAGACCAAAGTGCAACTGGAGTTGCAGCTAGCAAGGGATGTAAACAATAACAAGAAGAGTTTCTACAATTATGTCAGTAGCAAGAAGAGGATCAGGGAAAGTGTGGGTCCCTTACTGAATGCAGGAGGCAACCTTGTGACAGAGGATGCAGAAAAGGCTGAAGTGCTCAATACCTTTTTTGCCTCAGTCTTCACAGGCAAGGTCAGCTCCAAGACTACTGCACTAGGCAGCACAGTTGGGGGGTGAGGGGAGCAGCCGTCAGTGGTGAAAGAACAGGTTAGGGACTATTTAGAAAAGCTGGACATATACAAGTCCATGAGGCTGAACAGGATATACCCAAGGTTGCTGAGGGAGTTGGCTGATGTGATTGCAGAGCCATTGGCCATCATCTTTGAAAACTCATGGTGATCAGGAGAAGTCCTGGATGATTGGTAAAGGGCAAACATAGTGCCCATATTTAAGAAAGGGAAGAAGGAGGATCCAGAGAACTACAGACCAGTTAGCCTCACCTCAGTCCCTGGAAAAATCATGGAGCAGATCCTCAAGGAATCCATTTCTAAGCACTTGGAGGAGAAAAAGTGATTAGGAGCAGTCAGCATGGATTAACCGGGGCAAGTCATGCCTGACCAACCTGATTGCCTTCTGTGATGAGATGACTGGCTCTGTGAATGCAGGGAGACTGTTGGATGTGGTGTACCTTGATTTTAGCAAGGCTTTTTATATGGTCTCCCACAGCATTCTTGCAGGCAAGCTCAGGAAGGATGGGCTAGATGAATGGACTGTGAGGTGGATAGAAAACTGGCTGGAGTATCGGTCTCAGGGAGTAGTAATCAATGGCTTGTTGTCTGGTTGGCAGCCAGTAGCAAGTGGAGTGCCCCAGGGGTAGGTCCTGGGGCTGGTTTTGTTCAATGTCTTCATCAATGACCTAGAAGATGGCATAGCGTGCACCTTCAGCAAGTTTGCGGATGACACCAAGCTGGGGAGTGTAGTAGATATGCTGGAGGGTAGGGCTAGGATTCAGAGTGACCTAGACAAATTGGAGGATTGGGTCAAAAGAAATCTCATGAGGTTCAACAAGGGTAAGTACAAAGTCCTACACTTATGGTGGAACAATCCTGTGCACAAGTACCAGCTGGGGGCTGACTGGCTGGGCAGCAGCTCTGCAGAAAAGGACCTGGGCGTTACAGTGGACAATAAACTAAATATGAGCCAGCAGTGTGCCCTTATTGCCAAGAAGGCTAACAGCATACTGGCTGCGTTGGTAGGTGTGTTGCCAGTAGGTCTAGAAGTGATTATTCCCCTCTATTCAGCACTGGTGAGGCTGCATCTTAAGTACTGTGTTCAGTTTTGGGCCCCCCACTACAGAAAGAATGTGGACAAATTGAAGAGAGTCCAGTGGGGGGCAACAAAAATTATTCAAGAGCTGGGGAACATGACTTATGAGAAAAGACTGAGGGAACTGGGCTTATCTAGTCTAGAGAAGAGGAGACAGAGGGGACTTAGTAGCCTTCAATTACCTGAAGGGAGGTTTGAAAGAGGATGGAGCTAAACTGTGCTCAGTGGTGGCAGATGACAGAAGATGGAGTAATGGTCCCAAGTTGCAGCAAGAGATGTTTAGGTTAGATATAAGGAATAATTTTCTCACTAGGAGACTAGTAAAACACTGGAACAGGCTACCCAGAGAGGTGGGGGAAGCTCCATTCTTAGAGGTTTTCAAAACCCGGCTAGATATAGCATTGGCTGGGATGATCCTGCTTTGAGCAGGGGGTTGGACTAGATCACCTCCTGAGGTCCGTTTCAACCCTAACTTTTTGTGATTCTATCATAAAACTAGTGAAATCAGTTCCTTTTACTGTAGAGGGGATGCATTTGTGCTCTAAACATCCTAGTCCTTCCCTTCCCCAGATACTATTTAATTTAATTTGAATTTAATAATTATGAATACCTTGAAACTCATAGGCCTTATCCTCAAAGCTAGTGACTAGCCTCATTCCAATTAGGTTTTGTCTGAAAGTTTCAAGCAAGAGATTAATTTAAAACAGGGGTGGGAAAAATGGCGGATCCAGGGCAGTTGCCAGACTCCATTTCCTAGCAGCGCCTGCCTGTGTGGCTGGGGCCAGTTTGCATGGACACCCCAGGAGCAGCCAGACTATGATAGTGCGGGGCCGGGATTTCCATGGAGACTGGCCCCAGTACTGCTGGCAGGGCACATGACAGGGCACAGGGCTGCTCCGGAGCCGGGCTGGGATCTTGCAGCAGTGACAGCGTGGTCTGGAGCTGAGGCAGAGCCGTGATCTACTGCCTGCACATCCCTGCCTTGGGCATGCAGGCTGCAGATCGTGGTTCTGCCCTGGCTCTGGACCACGCTGTCACTGCCACAAGATCCCAGTCCAGCTCTGAAGTAGCACCCTGCCCTGAAATATGCCCTGCCAGCAGGGGCGGAACTAGGGAGCGGGGGCTATGGCCACCCCAAAATTCACCATAGCCCCCCATAGCCACCCCTCCCAGCAGTGCCACTGCCATCGCTGCTGCCTGCCCTGCACAGGTGGTGGCAGCTGAGCCTGTCCTGCTCCTGCCTGCAGCACAGCTCTTCACCATCAGATGGTGCCACTACTGCCTGCCAGTGCTGCTGGGGTCGGTCTCCACAGAAACCTCAGCCCCACACTATGGTAGCACAGCTGGTGCTGGCCCCAGCCCCGTGGGCAGGGACTGCTGGGAAATGGAGTCCACTGCTGGCCAGATCTGACCTGTAGTCCGGACTTTGCCTGCCCCTGATTTAAAAGTTCATGGGATGAAAAAAATGTTTCTGAATGAATCAGGAGGCAAACTTTGCAAACCAATCAGGATTAAAATATTTGTGTGGACAATGTAAAGATCAAGTCTTACATTTGTTCGTTCCAGACTTCTCTTACCTTTAATGGGAGATCTGCATCTATAAGCCACATAGCATTGAAGGTTAATTGTCTAATATTAATCCAGATCTCAGTATTGTGATTTACCTCTGACAAAGTAAAGACCTTATTTTTAGCATTATCTAACATGGCTTCTATTTTTGCACTATATTCTGGACAAAAACAATTTTGCCATATTTTCAGTCATTCCAATTTATAAAAATATATATTCAAATATCTATCTGCCATAAATTGTACATATGACTAATTTGAGGTGAAAACAGAACCCAGATAGTAAACATCTGTTAGTGAAAATAAACTGACTTGTCAGTTAACCATGTTATATTTTACATATTAGATTAACCTACTGGGAATTTTAAAAAAAGAATGGGGAGTAGGAGGGTATTAAGTAGCTACAGTGTTGTTTGTATTTGTACTAAACAAGGATCACTCAGTCATAAGTCACTTGAATGAATGAATATTTTAACACAGCATTGTAATTTATTTTGAATTATAGTACTGTAAAGTGGTGTGCTAAATAAATATTTCATTTAGTATACCTAAAATGTAATTTTTATGCTTCATTTTGAAAGCTTGAAGACAGGAGGAACCATGGGGACCATTAAAATCTTGACATTTACCATTTGCAATAATAAAGCATGCTGCAGTATTTTTTTAACCCATTTACTTCCATTTCTCATTCCTGGCTCTATATCTGATTATCCATACAGGATAATTAAATACTGTTCAAGCAAATATCATGGAACAGTAGTATGGCGGACCTCAAGATTTTAATGGTATCCAGTGAGAAAAGCTGATTCCCAAATGGGAAAGATAACTGTGACACAATCGACAAGATGTACTGTGATAGCAATTCAGCTCTTTAGCATTTAGTTCTTGAATCAAGAAGGCACATATGCTTTAAGCATAAGCACATATTTAAAGTGCACAAACACTCCCATTAAAGTCAGTAGGACTCCTCCCATGCTTAAAAAGTTTAAATACCATCCTGAATCTTGGCCTTACATATATTTTAAATAAGCAATACCTGGTTAGTAGCATCAGTACAAGGAGACAGTTCAACAGGACCTTCTGATACACCCCCTCTGGATCTGTAATCTGCACAGAAGCCAACACCAGTATTGTGCAGCTGTGAATAAATATTTATACTGATATAAAGCACTATCTATCAATTAAAAATAAAATATCTTTCAATTTACTTTTATAGGATAGCAGTCCTTTTATTACCTCTTTGTAAGTTTTAATTTATAATTAGCAATAAGGGTTCTTTCTCTTATAGACGCAACCAAATGTTCTTGGCACACAGGGCCAACTGGAACCTTGATGCAGGTGGAGTTACACCAGAGATCAGTTTGATCCAATGATATTTAGTAAGATTAGAGACATTCACCTCTGGTTTAGAATTACTAGGCCTCGCTGAATTTGTGTCAAAACATTTTTTAAACTAGGTTTTGACTAAATGAAGAGTTGTGTGGTAAGTTTTTGTATTCCTTCTAAACCTCTAAAATGTTTGCTTGGTTGGAGGAAGCATGATTTTATGAACAGGGCAATGAACAGGTACTTGGGAGATCTGGGTTCAATTCCTGATTGGGAACCCGACTTTATTTTACTCTGTTTTCTTTCCTCTCCAATTTTTAGTCTGTATTGTCTAGATACCATATTTTCTCACATACCAAATGCCCCCAGTAAGACACACACCTTGCTTTTTGAAAACAGCAACAAGGCTATGTCCTAGCCCCTGGCAAGGGCACTAGCAAAACTGTTCCTTCTTTACTGTAACTGGTTCCTGTAAATAATGACGAGTTGCTTCTATACCACAAACCTCATCAACATACTGCATACAGCAGCTCAGTGGCTCTTCAGCCAAAAGCTACTGCCTCACCAGCAGCTGAAAAAGAGTTAACACTGGACTCCACCTATGCTACCTGCTGTTTCAGTCATTTTAGCACAGTGTCCCTGTTTCTATTCTAGCAAAGAAAAATCAGCTTCTTCGCTTAATACATGCACCCCCAGTTTGGGAGGACTGATTGTGGAGAAGGAAGGTGTATGTGGTATGCTAGTAGATATGTTCAGGGCGGTGTTGGTTTTATCATATGCTTGTGTAGTGCCAGGTACAATGGGTTTTCTAACAAATACAGTAACGCAATTAATTATTAATAATAATAAACTTTCTCCTACCTTGCCAGAGAATTTTGGTCTGTCCTTTGGCAAGTGAAGTTCAGGGTACACATTTGATATAAACGAATGAAAATCTCTACAGCCCAACCTCTTTTGCAGCTGAAGGCTCTCGTTGCAGTCTGGTTTCTCCACCTCAAATGAGAAAGCAAAGGACAAGGGAAAGGATATTGAACAAAGCTGGAAGAGAGAGACTAACCAGGGAGGCTCAGTTCTGACAGCCCATATACACTGCATGTTGCAATTAATGCATGTCTCTCACATGGTGACTCCCTCCTGTAAATTTATTCCACAGTAGCAGTTAGTCTAGTGATACAGGGAAAGTAAATATTTTGCAGATATGACTTGGTGTGGGAATTAAGGTCTTTATTCCAAAGCCAAGTGAATTTTCTTGCAAAATTAGTAACTTTTTACATTAAAGCTTATAACATGAACATACATCACCCTCTACTCAATCCCTTTTCAAAATTTTAGAGGAGAGAGAAAAAAAGCCATGGATTTGCAGTGTGTGGAACAGTAACAAATCTAGGCTTTGGCAGACCCAGCAGCTCCATTTCATTCCTTCTGAGAGCTACAACTCATGTGACTGCTAATCTCAACTGTGGCTGTTTCTTACAATAGATTTCCCTCATCAGTGTTGGCCCTGGTCTCAATGCAACAACTATTTACTAAGTGAAAAGAATCAGCTTCTCTCAGGCCCATAATTTGAGCAAATTCCAATAAGCCATAGAAACAAGGTGAGTGTACAATGAATCTGAGGGGTTTGTAAAAATGAACAGCGCTGCTTAAATTTAGCGGGACCTAAAAAGCTGATGTCATCAACTATCATTGTGTCGTGTTAATTACAGTTTAGATTTGGTGCTGGATACAGGACATCCAAATCATCTGAGATGAAACTCCTTTCACTTTTACATTAACAACCAAAAAACCCCAACAGGATAAACATGAAAATAAGGAGCTTTATTAATCCATAGTTATGTTCACACTGTAGATATGCTGGGCAGAAAATTCCATGAAAAAATGTATACATTTAAATTGGGGTTCAGTTTTTTATCACCAAGTCAATGCCATCGAGATTTTTCAGTGGCCAGCAGGTGGCCCTGTTCACCCTTTTAGCACAACAAATCCCTGAATACTAAGTATATCATGATGACTGCAAGTAATTGGTAGTGCTTCAAACGGTTTAATTTAGTGCCTGTATCTATTAAACTACATGATGCTGCATTGGCATGACAGCATGGGATATGGAAGGAATGTAACAAGGAAAGGGATGTTCTGGGTTATGGTAGATTGAGTATAAATAGTATAAAATAGTATAGTTGAGGGTGCTTCATAGTATATAATTTCAGTATCCTGCACAGAATCAACTTCATGGCAAAGATTCAGGTGCTTTCAGAAAATAACCAGCAATATTGAAGGCCAGAGAGTTTATTAGTTCAAGGTAAAGTTAGTACTAAGCTAACAAGAAGCACCTTCAGTTGATTATGTTAAATTACTTAAGGAAGCAGCCTTTCATTGTTGGAGACCTGTATGGGACTTAATGAAAGGAAAGTCTGAGCAATGGGGTTTAAGTCCTGTAACAGGGAAAAGAAGCAACAATTCTGTTGACAAAAAGTGAAAATCAGAGTGAAATAAAATGTTCAGGTCTCAGGTTCCTGGGAGAATCCTGGTGGAGAGTGCTCACATGATGCTCAGGACTGCAGTAACTGGGAAATACCTGGTTAGGACTGAACTGCAATGCAAAAACTGTGGGGAAATGTAGATAGTGCTTACTCATACCCCGCTTACCTCTCATATTGTCATCAGACATTTGATAAGGAGTGAGGGGAGAATGTTTCTGATATAATGAAAGTTATTGGAACCAAAGAGCTAGGCCTAGCAGCAGTATTGTCAACAATGGTGCAGCTTAGGTTGCAAAACTCCCGAAATATAAGATTATATACGTGATCTAGTTCAATCTCACTGTTGTATTCAATCTGTCCCCAACTAAACTGTGGTTCTAGTGCAGACTGAACCAGTCTGGGAAGAATGTTAAATTCTGATACTTTAGTTAATATGACCCTCTCTAGCAAGTATTTAATTATCTTTTAAGGCTGTGTCTTCTAATGAAAATCTAATTTGTATTGGTTGGTTGGGATGTCTGTATTTTTTATATCCTGACTTTTCTGTTACCTTCCTGTATGCTTCACCTTAGTTTTGTGAGTTATTTGCAGCTGTTTCTGGACATCCATGAACTAAGCAGGGAGTCACCTTTACTGTGAACATTATATTTCAGTGATTGCTTTCCTAATCCTGATGTATTCTATGTCTATTTCTCTGCTGACAAACACTGGAAATGTCAATATGATACATGGGCTACTAACAAAGCATCAGGAATCTGCTAAAGAGAAAAACTCATAACCCTTCTTCCCTCTCCTACTCAGTCACAAGAAGGGTTTTCTTTTCTCTCCCCTACTGAGAGATGAGCCATCATTTATGCCTTTACCTTGCTGATTAAGGATGCCAATGTGTTATGCTTGTAGAAGTTCTCTTTAAAAGAACCCAGCCAAGTCTCTGCTATTCGGATTTTGTTCCTCATCATGACTTCTTCATAGGGAAATGCAGGTGGGATGTGATTTCGATAGACATGTCCCACTCGTGAGCATGGAAGGATTTCTACAGACCCACCACAGAGCCAGGCCTGCAGTACAGATGAAGACAGAAATTGGTTTCAGCGTCAATGATCTTCTAAATAATTAATCACTTTCAGCAGCACTGAGAGCAAGGTATAAGTAACTTAGTGCAAAAAAGTGAAGCAGTCACTGAAATCAGTGAAAATTTATTCTGGCAAGTGGCTAAAAATCTAGATATCTATCCCAAGCTCCAGTGCTCAGTTTATATGCATCCAACAAAAGCAAATTCCTTTTTCTTTTTACCCTGTTCCAATATTTTATCTGGTTTAGCAGCAGGACAGGAAGAGTATCCTGCAACAGTGCCTCCCCAGTGTGAGCAAATGTAAAGGGTATATAGAAAATTATTACCAAAAGCCCTTATCAATTTACTTTATCTGACAGCCATGTTAATAGGAAAGAGAAGGAGAAAGAAGTCTGCTCTCCCAGTACATCTATGAAGACTGCAAAGGAAGGAGAACATACAGACAAGTTAGGCTATGACATTTGTGCTTGAAAGCAGTGTTTGGGATGCTTCAGGCTGCAGCTGAATAACTCGTATGTGGCACTTACATATGGATATGCACTTGAGCACCTATGGTCTCACCTGTGGTCTGTTGCTGCTAACTGATCACATTATAATGCTGGTGTAAATGGAGAGGCTGCCACAAAAGTCAATGCATTCACTTACATTAGCACTGAATTTAGCACAAAGCCTACTGCGGAGACATTTCTTTTTCTGTTTCCCTGAGCCATAATAGAGTCCATAGTATTCATGTCTTACAGTCTTCAGAACTTTCTCATGTGAGATATTCAGTATGCATGACCTTCTTTAACAGGAACAGCTTGAAGTATTGACATTTCTATTGTTGAAGAAATAAATGTGCTGCTTTTGCTGAAGTGTATGCAGGGGGAAGTTTAGCAACTTTCAGAAGATGGTAAAATCTCTGTCCTGTCCTCAGGGGCTAAGTACAGGCATTCGGCAGCATTAGGGTGAAGTTAAATTGATTCAGAAAGGCTGTCTGATAGCAGGTAAGTCAGGATGAAGGTGGGGAGGGGTGCTAGCCAGGGGGTTGGGGGTCTAGCAGGCTGGGGGGGATTGAGCGTCCTTTGGGGGATGGAAGGGGAGGCACAACCTGTGGGTGGAGTTGGGGGGGCAGGTACAACCCGTGTGTGGGATGTGGCACAGACATGACCCACAAGATGTAGCGGGGGAAGGCATGACCCACAAGTTGTGCAGGTGGGGTGGGGGGGCTGGCACAATCTACAAGGGGTGGAGGGGGCAGGCACAACCTGTAAGGGGTAGGGGGGGCAGGTGTGACCCACGGGTGGGGTGGGGGGTACAGGCACAACCCATGAGCTGTGGGGGTGCAGGTGCATCCTGCAGGTGGGGTAGGGGGGAAGGCACATCTCACAAGGGGCAAGGGGGACAGGCACGACGGGTGGGTGGGATGGGGTGGGATGCCCCCCCATAAGTGAATCTATAGCCCCATCCCTTCTGGCCCCTCCCTGCTGGGACTTACTTGCTAATAAAAGTGGCTGCATCCAGAGCAGCTTGTGGGATGAGGGTTGAGATGGCTGCCTGGTGGGGCGGGAGGGGGCAAAAAATATTCCGGTGTGGGGGAAGCAGGGTGAAAAAAGCAGTCAGTCCCAAGGCTTTTTCAGCCCAGGCTTTCCCAGGCTGGGTTTTCCTGGACTGATTGATGGTCATGGAGACTGGGGCTGTAAGTATAAAGTCAGCACTGGGATGAGCCAAGTTTAAATTCGGCGGCCATTTTGGACCCAATTTAACCTCCCCAAATGTCTGTACTTAGCTAGGCAGGCCATGATAGCCAATGTGGTTTTGTTTTAATGAGGTAATGCTTCTTTCTTAGCATTTCTGGATGTTGTCACTAGATTCTACTGGATCCAGGAACTTTGGAGGTAGAGTACTTTTGAAATGAGAAATTTCTTGTCACCACGTGCTTTTATAGATAGCTGTTATTTTTCCTAGTTGCTTATGGGCCTTTAGATTCTGTGCTCTTAAAACACACACACACAATAGATACACTTGTTGACATTTCACTCTTACCCTTATAGATAATTCTAGATTTTCTGCCCCCCATAGGGTCATGTCAGAATCATAAGCTCCAATATTTCGGAAGTAATGTCGGTCCATTGCCACAACTCCACCTGGTACCACAGGACTTCTAGAAAGAGCACAGTTTAACACTGAATCTCTACATGGTTTAATATAGCGAGATAAATACAGGATGAGATTTACTCTTGTCCATTAAAAATGATGCATGAACCCATGTTGTTGCTGCTGGGTGGGGTGGGGGAGTTTTAAAACTGCAATTGTACTTATATTTTAAAAGACATTTGTATCTACATGTGTCTGTGCATTGCTTGGCAGTTGCTGAGTGGTGGCAGGTTTTGAGGCTTTATAATGAATCATTTTTCTGTTGGGAGAGATGGGGCTTAGGGTATTTCCTACTCCTAGTGCAGTTTATTTAATTAACAAACGTATATGATGTCCGTTTACTTTCACTGAAGGTGGCCAAAACAGCCCACAGACATGTCTGTTGGTAGAACACCCTGGTAAAAAAACTATTATGTAAAGGTTTGCAGAGAAGAGGTGTCTTTCTTCTCTCTGACACTTTTGCTCCCAGCATACTCTCTGTTTTTGCATCCTGTCTCAGTCTTCCCACATGGAAGTTCTTTAGCTTGCAGCTAGTGCTGAGAAATCGGGATGCACTCAATACTATATCGGCTAAACTGCTAATTCACTGAAGACTGCTGCTGCTCCTTGGATCCTGTGTTTGAATTAGACTTTTACTCTTAGAGGGGGTGGGGAGGTCTGCAAAAAAAAGGGCTGCCTATCACAATGCCCTAACAAATTCAGAGACCCCCCCAGGTTATGATTTTCAAATCTTACAGTGGGGGCGGGGGGGGGGGGCTCTCATTTCTTTTGCGGGGCTTAGTCTCCCTGAGCTCCTCCATAATTCAAACCCTGCTTGGATCTCTCAAAAGCTGACTTCCTCTCCTCCTTCACTGCCTCTCCTTCCAGGGTTCCTCAGCATTCTGTGACCTCCTGTTTATTAGTGTCCATGATGGCTCTAATGCTCTCAGTCCCCTCCATCTCCCTGCTCACCCCTTACTTGTGTCACTGATTCTGTTGCTAAACTTCCTCACTCTATTTTTCCCCAATCCGTGCCTCTTTTACTATTGTAAACTCTGTGCCGCTACTCCCCTGCCCAGGTTCAACACAGAGTTCTGCTCTTCTGCTCTTGTTCCTGTGCCACTGGCTGCTCCCCGACAAATTTCTGTCCCTCCATGGGCTTCCTCTGCTGCCCTTCCCCAGCAATTTCTACATGTTCTTCCACTCCATGTGAAATCTTCTTCCTGAGCTATTCCATCGAGTCACTGCCCCCATTTGAATCCCCCCTGTAGAACCACGTCTTCCATGTCAGCTGCAAGACATGCAAACCAACTTTTTATTTCTCTTATTGATCATGTGACTCAATTGCTCACATATACAGCGGAGAGGACTATTGACACTGAAACTGAGGATTGGTGCGAGAGAAAGTAGGGGGAGCTGAATCATTGAGTGAGGGCCAGGGGAGGGAAATTTAATAGGTTATTTAGATATACATGCACACACAGAAATGGCAAATGGGTGTGTAAGGAACAAGACGAGTTCACTGTCACCCTAGTTACTCTGTGTGTTTCATCCTCCCATTCATATCTTGTACTATTTGGAGTAATGCCTATGCCTTTATCTCTAGAAAGCACTTACCAAACTAGGCGCCACTGCAGTCTAGTAATAATATTAATAAATTAAAATGTAGTGATCCTGTAATCTCAATATAAACCGATAAACCTATTCCCTCAAAAATAATTAGCCAACAAGTGCATGTAATCCTGTCTCTTAGCTGGCAGATGTGCTAGATTCCATGACCATGGTGCCGAGGTGACAGTAAGCATAGTGGCTAATGAACTGTTACCTGATGGGGCTGATGGGAGACTGGCGTACCTTCTCTTCATGCTCTGGCAGCGACTCCCAGTGGAAATCTAATTTCCAGTCAAAAACACCTCGTTGCAGGTCCACAGAGTGATAATACTGAAATGTCTTCCAGTCTATGACATCAATGATGGGAGAGACAATTCGATTTCTGAAAAGAATTTTTTTTGTTTTAAAGGTCAAGTTAGGGATCAAGCTGACAGTGCATGAGTAAACCTTTTGGTTTGGGGTTTAATCATACACAGTGCCAAGCACTCCTGTGGAGTGCTGAGTGGCCACAATTCCACTGCTGACGGGAGTTGAGGCTGTTTAGCATGTTGGAAAATTGAGCTTATAGTGAGGAAACTGGAACATATCAATCATAGTCATTTCAACATTATCCAAGACCTTACTTTGGGTGCACCGTCAAAATGTACCCTCCTACTTTTTATATTGCACTGCCACCTACAAGCTCCAGTCCTGGATTGTTCAAACAGGGAACAAAATGATAATCCCCTGTAGTTGCTCTGAATCTTCCAAACCAGCTGACATAGTCTGATCAATAGTCTGCCTTCTGATAGCACAAATGCATCAGTAAAGGGTCAAATTCTGTTTTAACAACTTTGCACCCTTAATGGTGTCAACAGGGTTGCACAACAGGTGTGATAAAGAGCAGACTTAACTTGAAGAGTGGAATTTAGGAGGAGTATTTTACTTTTCATTTTCTACCAGTTGGTCATTGGGAGAGAGCTGTTTTTTATCTATGTTCAAATTGAAAACACAAGTGTATAATACACATCCTTATTCTATATTATAGTGGTTGCATATAGTCTTGGTTTCTAACCCTCAGTAAAATTTGTATGTACTTGAATAGAACTATTCTTTAATTTCAGAAACTTCATGATGTTTAACAATGCACTGTATGTCATCCTGAAATAACTGATACATCGGAATAGAACACAAAGGTATAAACCCTGTCTTAGTTTCCTAATATATCACATTTGGAAATCATCTTTACGGGGCCTGTTTACATAGCAAAACTTATTCTGGAAGAAAGTTGAAATAACTATTGTGGATTAAACTACACCAGACAATGTCACTCTTACTAAGGGAGTCCACACAGAGAGTTATTATGAGCTAGCTGTTACATAATTACTCCCTGTGTACGCAAACCCTGAGAGAAGAAACGGACCCTTTTTTGTAGAAATTGGAATGTTTTGCATAAGAAACTTCAAGTGCCTCCTCTTTCAAAGATTTATGTCTCTTGGTCAGAGATCAGTTTTGAGAGAGAGAGAGGATTTCAACATACTTCAGCCAATAGGGGAGGGCCATCACAGAAGTCTTCAAAAATCAGTTTTCTTTTGCTTTGGCTTGGCACTAAAAGAAAAACAGGTGCCAGCTGTGAAAGCTGGCAATTTTGTGCGATGGATATATGACCTGGGCATATTTTCCCTGCACTTTTAAATCACCATAGTAATGGTTTGCAATGAAAGTGGGGAGGGACTCAGTCCTTTGTTTATCACAGTCGTCACTCCATAAGAAAGGATTTTAGAAACGCACAGAGAAAAGCTAGCCATTGATCTTCAGCGGTTAGAGGGGAATTGAAGAGTACAGTTAAAACTGCTCACTTTCTCCTTTGTTCCACTCTAAGAGGCAGCTGATGTGTTAGATGCAGGTCAACTTAAAAGAAATAGGAGGAAATACTTTCACACAGGACTAAATCAGCCCATGAGACTCATTATCACAGGGGTTCCTGGAGACAGGGACAACATTTACAAACAGGTTAGATTCTTGTATGGCCAATTATAACATTGGTAATTGAACATATGAAGTCATAGCAGCTCTCTGCCATGCTTCAGATATCAATCAGCTGCAACAGGGTCAATGAGGGGCAAGGGCTCAGGGCTCATTTATTCTGAAACAATAGCATAATACTATATGTATGTCAAACACCTAGCACATAAAGGAATCCCAAACCTGACGGCAGTTTTGGAATCCTACCATTCTCATCTGATCCCATCCTCCCCAATGATATGCTGAGAAATTTCTCTGTGTTCATAACAGCAGCATCCAATTTGTACCAAAACAGACAGGGGTTTTCCAAAAAAAGCTAAATGCATCCTTTTTCTCTGACTCTGAACACCAAGGAAAGGTATGGGGGAGAGGCAGGAGATGTTACCAGTTTCTTCAGGAAGGTGCTAAAATTGAAGAGAACATGCTTTGCTTGGCTTTTGACTGGCTGAACCTGGTGTTTCTTTGCTTTATTACTGAGGAAAAGCCAGATGAATATAAAAAATAAAAGAGACTCTCTATGACCAAAAATTCAAAACCTGGAAAACATCACAAAGTCAATATAACTATAATCTCCATGGCAAGCAACAGCACAAGTTACTTCCAGGGTACATCCAGTACCTTCCAGCATACACACCTCAAATCTTATAGCTGCCTGCTTGAAAATGTGATGGATGATTATACTTTAAACCAGACTTTCTAGAAGTCATTTTACTGCTCCTGGATAAACACACTCCAGTTTATTGCCTCTAGTCTATGATATTTTATGCAGATAAAATTGATAGACTGACTGCTGGGATGAAGTTTATTTTACAGTAAGATGTCATTTTCTCTAGAGTGAGACAAATTAGGACAAGGAGTTAAGCAGAGAGTTATTTAAACTAAAATATTAAGAAAAATTTGACTATGAGGGCCAGGTTTTGACTAACGCTTGTGTAAATCCACAATAACTAAAACAAATGCAGTAAGAGAGAGTCTGGAATCACACTTGTATAACTGATAAAATTCTGGATCTGAGGCTCTGATGTTCTCCAATTAACTTAAATCTTACCTTTTTTTCTGAATCTGTTTCTTATGTTGCTAATATCAGAGCTCAAACTTGCAACAGCAGTTTTTACTTCCTGGGCTTGCTCACGTGACAGTAAGCACTGCAGCCATCAGTGTTTGTTGGAACTTAGTTCATACATTATGTTGTTTGTTTCTCTTTACTATATTGTGTCTGTTCTTTTGGAGTGCCTATACACATGTGGGGGGCACTGTAATTACAGCATGTTGGAGCAGATTCAATGACTTGCTAATTAACACATTTCAGCCAGCCACATCTCATGTATCAAGGTCCAGACAATTCAAAATGGCAACAGGGGCACTTTACCTAAAGCTCATTTGACAAGCTTTAATTAAAACACCCGTACCACCATTTTGAAGCATGGGCACACTGATACACGAGATGCTGTGGACACTTTAATTAGAGTGGCTCTTGAACCTGCTTTAATTAAAGAGCGCCCCCCCCCGGGAACGTGTAAAAACACCCGTGATGTTTTGGAAGCAATCTCTGCACCACATGGAATGGGCTTAGCGAATCAGGAAACCAGAAGCAAAGCCAGGTGACCAGTCTAAAAATATATGCCCCATACTCCCTCTGGGTCATGAACATTTTTCAGTTTCAGAGTTCTGTGGCCACTTTCTCTTAGCATACATTTTAAACACTGGAAGGACTGATATAAAACTAAACCGAGAACATTTAAATTCTAAACACTGGAAGGATTGATATAAAAGTAAACCAAGAAAGTTTAAATACAGTATTTTTTGCTTAAGCAATGCATGCAAAGTTTGACAAGGAAAATAGTTGCTTATGCCATATTCTTCTTTGCCTTATCTTTTAGTGAAAAAAAAAAGCCAATGGAATCTGTTTTTACAAATTAATTATATTAAAAAAAAATTCCCTACATCTTACATATCTCTTAGGATCACAGAAGCTAGTTCCCAGCTGGTGTAACTTTGCAGTGCTTTGCTGAAACCAATGGAGCCAAACTAAAGTGGAAGTGAGGATTTGTATGATAGAACTTCAGGTTGTTAGAGTGTCCCTCTGATCACCTGTAAAGGAGTTCTGGCGGCTTACATTCAGTACTCAATAGCCTATTTTTCTTTTAATCAAATGTTGCATGATCTTTTTTGGGGCATAAAGGTGTCCTTTCTAAAACATCTGTTTTCTACATGTTCATGACGGATTTAATACTTGTGTGGTTATAAATGCAAATTTTCAGCAGAAGGTAATTGAAAGTTGGAACAGGTTACTTGTAATTCCTTTTGTCCTTAACTTGGTAACTGGCAGAAAGTCAGTAACCTCTCGGCACTTTGAAATGAAACACTCACACTGGCAAACAACTGCTAATTTTACTCCGCGGAATCCAAAGAAAGAAAAAAAACAGGAAACTCAAATACAACTGGCAGCAATGCTTTTTGAACCATCTGACTTCAGTATTATTAATTTGTGAATATTTCAAATGCTTGGAGAGCACAAGATCTACAGAAGGTTACAATTCCGTGAAAAAAAAACAAACCCAAATGCACATAATTTCCTGTTTTGGGATTTCTGAACCAAATGCAGTTGCAAATTAAATATCTTCCCATGACCATTTACAGAAGTTCTGAACATTGTGTTCTTTTCTTTTAACAAAATGAGTAATAGGACAAAAAGGAAGAGTTAATTATCTCATCTGCTTTTAAGTTTTATATAGACTACTTTCGAAAGAGACTTGATTTATATTGTACATTGCTGGGAAGGGAACAGGTTGTTTAAATAAGAAAGAGTAATGAAAACAAATATTAAAATGTTATTGTTTTCCTTTGTACCCTTTCATGGTAGGTTTTATCCTGCAATAGTGGGATGAGTCAGGAATTCAGACAATATTTGAGCCTAGGCCCAAATTTTGGGCAAGTACTGAGGGCTCAAGCCTGCTTCTGGGCTTTTCCTGAGCATATTGCATGTCAAATGAAATTGTCTTGCAGGCTTGAAGTCCTAAATAAAATATTCCTACCAAGAGCTTTACAAAAGCTAGACAGGGTTGGTAGGATTAGAAGGAAAATGCACCAATCAGAAATGTCAAAGCCATGGTGTAATGAAGCACTTAAGCATGGGCTTAATTTCAAACATGTGACTAGTTCCTTTAAGTGGACGGTGACATTCAGGAGCTTGAATTGAAACATAAACTTAAGCTCTTTGCTAGATAGTGTCCTAAATGAAGACAGCTGAACCCAAATGTTTTTTGTATTGGGATGGTTGCAACCCACTTAATTTGTAGCAGGTTGCTAAATTAAGGACAAGCCTCTCAGTTAATTGCTATGGCTTTTACTTTAAAAGATGCTGCATCTCCACTCACCTGGAGCATAGCCACAGTCTCCATAGCTGATTGGAGAAACCATGCTGTTTCAAATGAAAGGCACATCAGACAGCTGGTCTCACTCGGCCAACTGTACCCCAGGCTAGTTACATTGGTTTCTCTGATGGATGTTTTGTCAATAAGTGACTTCTCCAAGTGTATCTGTTCATATAACATCGGCCACCAAGCAACAGTCTTATGTCAACACATTTTAAAGATTGTCAACACAGGCTGGATTCAGACTAACAATCTTAGAAGAAAAGAGGTTGTAGTGAATGTTATCAATAGCATAATCTAGCTACTTCTCTGAATTTCAGATTAAGGTGCACAGAATGCAAACAAATCAGTATGGCTAAAAATAAGAACAAAACCCATAGAAGACCAAAGGCAGAATGTTTACTGTCTTTGTATGAAGAATTAACATATCTGAGCATTGCAAACTGTATAGATAGCTCGAAGATCCCAGTTCTTCTTGGTGATGCATTCCCTTCTAATAGGAATATAAACTTCTCGTATAATATCCAAAGGGATATTTACCTGTCACTGGCCAGTCTGGCCAACAGGGGTTCTAACCAGCCTTTGTGACACTCACAGTGGGAGTCCATGAAGATCAGCACATCCCCTGTGGCCCGGGCAGCTCCCAACATACGACCCTGGATGACTCCTAGCCTCTTGTTGCTCCTGATCAATTTTACGCCATCCAATTTAGAGATGTATTCACTCAGGGCTGACTTCAGGTGTCCTGCAAAAAATACAATGGTCACATAGATTTTAGCTCTGTTTGGAACAGCCAGGCTGTTACTGTCCTCCCCCAAAAGCCCTACTCAATCAATTTGTGATGGAACACATCATCAGCTTGTTGGTAAGATGGTTTGGGACAAATCTTGCTTTTATCTTACCCAGCAGTGCAACAGAGGGAAGGGAGCAGAACATCACTCTCCATTTTTCTACAGTCAATCAAACATTTCTGGATTGCAATTCTGGGTATGGAGGAGTGGGGAACAGAGATTGCATTCAAGATACATGGCTGCACTCTTATTGTGTGAAAACTAAGCATGTAGGAATGGAGCCATGTTTTTATCTTTTGGGCTCTGCTGCTTGTTACCCAGAATTTTTTCCCTTCCTGCCATGGGCGACTGGTATTTCCCAAGTCAGTGGGGACCAGATCATCGACTGGGGGGGCGGGGGAGGGCAGTCCCCTAGAGATCAACCGCTGAACCCAAAATCACCAGCAGCAAAACTGAAAGTGCATTTCCGCCAGCACTTCTGGTTTTGTGGTTGGCGTTTCCAGGGGGTATACGGCCAATGTCAGGGGGTGCACATGCACCCGCATGCACCCCCTACATGTTGCCAATGCTTCCTGCTGCTATACCTATCAGGCCTCCCCCCCACTGCCCACACACACACACACACACACACACACACACTTCTTCAGAAGCATTGGGTGCTGGCTGCAGACAAGGTTGGGGATTTTGACTGGGATGTGTCAGTGCTCCTACTGGGACCCAGAGGTTCACGGTTATAGAGTTTTACTCTTCTGCTCAGGGTCAGACCAATCGCCATATTTGTTATCAAAAAAGAATTTTACCTGATTGTCAGATTGGTACCGAATGTGGAGGGTTTTTGCCTTCTTCTGTACTGGGGGGCATAGCCCTTTTCCTTGGATCTCTTGAGGATATTTTAATAACCTTGGATGGCAACAAGACATTAGCTAGCTGTGGCAGGTTAAGGTGTTTTGTTTTGTGGTTGGCTCAGGGTTGACGTGTAGTTTTGTTAATAGGTTAGATAGTGGATTTGTATAGGATGATTTGGATAGGGATGATCTTGCCTCATGAAGGGAGTTGGACTAGATGACCTCTAGAGTTTCCTTCCAGCCCTACTTTTCTATGATTCTGTGACCTGTGCTGTACAGGAACTTGGACTAGATTATTTAATTTATAAATCTGTGGATAAAGTAAGCTTCTAGCCCTCATACTTGTGCAGAAAATCTAGAAAAAATATTTCCAGTGCACCCTAAATGCTTAAAAATCAAAAGACAAATAATAGGAACTGCAAACTGATAATTTTTTTAAGCTAATCATGATTTTTCAACACATGTAGATGTCCCAGCACTGTACTCTCTAATATCTAATACATGTGGAATGGTCTTCCCAGGCCCGATATACCAGAAATAGGAAATGAGCTGGGTAAATATATATTGTCTTCAACACAAGCTTTGTAGTGAATAGTTGCTTTACCCATTCTTCCTCTACTTATGAATTGCTGGAGTGTTCAATAAAAATTTGCAGAAAATAATCATCTTTGGGCAGAAACTGAGCCTGGAAAATGTTAACCTCACATATAAAATGATGAGAAGTGCCTAAAACAGGGTGTTTAGGATGAAAAAGTTAATTCAGTTGTATCTTTGGAAATAGCACTCACAGTTGCTCTTACTAACGTACATACAACTAGTCTTTCTATAGCTAGCACTGGTTGCATCTAGTGTGTTGCCTGGGTTAAAATAAATGTTCAACTCAAGATCTTTTTTTCTGTGTGTCTATGTACTGTAATTTGATTGACTAGATGTACCTGCATCTGCTCAAATCCAAAAAGACAGAGAAGTATCTAAGTATTTTACTGATTTGGTGAAAACTAGAAAAACCTAACTTCTACTAAAATCAACTCCACTGAGTGCCTGGTTTGTCCCCTGATTTTATATATTTCTTAAACCACAGATCACCAGGGACTTCTGTGCTCCTCACAGCTTGGCACCATACCCAAAAATTTTGCCAGGACCCTCAAAGGAGCTCTTCATTTCTGACTTGACTCTCCCTCTGGCCCCCAAATAAGCTTCTCACCTTTAAAAACCTTTAAAAATAAACACTGGCAATGTTCAGAGGCAGTCATCAAATGCTAAAGAAAGCCAAACATCAGCAGATTCAACTGTCATAGCTATGATCTGAAAGGAATAACAAGGCAGAAATGATGACCTTTCAAATGCAAAGGAAGGAAACATATATAGATAAATCAGACAGCAGGAGATTTCTTTGGTTCAGTTCTGGAAGCCTCCTCTACAAATGCCCAGAATATGTGGTAAAAGAAACTTTATAAAGCAAGAAAAAGAGAGAGTAAGAGAGATTGCTAGTAGCTTGTGAAGAACTTCTCTAGTCTCAATTCCTATAAGTTAATGCCTGAAATATTTTTGATGCAAAAGAAACACTTGGAAATGTTTCATATCTAGAAGTAGAACAGAGTTGCAGGTTCTACTTACAAAGCTATCTGTAAATCTCAAAGTTAAAGGGAAGTGTTCTCCACAATACCCACAAAAGAGCTGATGTCATAAGGACCAGTTCTGTAAGATGCTGAGCAATTTCTTTGAGAAACTGAATCCTCTCATCTCCCGCTGTTCCTAGTGACAGTTGAAAACATTAAACACCTTGTGGGATAGTCAGCAACACACAGGGTCAGGTTCAGAGGGAATCCCTACAGGTGTTCACAGAAGACACAACTGGTCCGAGAGCCTGTGATTGCTTCAGCAATGTAGAGCTTTCCTCTCAATGTTACAGCCAAGGTCCAAGTCTGGAAATCATCATAGTGAGTCCGATCCAGTGAAAAGCTTAAGATTTGTGTACCGTGATCTCACTTTAAATGAAAATCTCTAAAACTATTGGACATGACAAGGAAAAAATAGACAGTTCAGACTTAGCAGGTGAATTTTAGGGCAGGAAAAATAAAATTTGTCAAGTTCAGCTCTATATGTTGCTTGCTTTAGTAAAGTGTTTCAAGTTCTACTCTCCCACCCTCAATTCACACAGAAATACAGGCTCCTTCAAACAGCTTTAAATACAGAGCTTAGAGGTAGAAAAAAAATAAGAAGTTACCTCGTTGGCTGAGGTCATCGACAAGGATGATCTCCTTGAGAGAGGCCTGTGGGGCTGTGTCTTTAACACTGTGCACAGTTCTTAGGAGGGTAGACCAGGCTTCATCATGGAAGCAGATGATAACACTAGCTGTAGGAAGACTGGGGCCATGCTCCTGCTGCAGACACCTGGGTTAGACAGAATGGAAGAGGTACACTGTGTAGGTTGCTACATTCATTGGCTTGTTCTTAGCATTTCTCTGAGAATAAAAGTCAGAATTTACTCTTAAATTGATGGTCACTGAAGTCAGCTCATGATTGTTGCTCAATATGCAGTGATACAAATAGCATTTAAGCTATCTAATGAATGGAGTAGAGCATGGTTCTCCAACTTCTAAGCAGCTAGGGGCCACACAATGCAGGCTATGTCAGTGGGGGTAGCATACCATGCAGGTAGCACTAGTGTGAGCCTCAGGCCCTCCAGGCTGCATACTGTGTGGTTTGCCCTCCTGCTGCCAGCACATCCTCCCATTATGCTGCACACAGGCAGATGACCTCTTGGTGCTGCACTGCACCTGCAGACGTCCTGGCCTTACCCTCATATCCCCAGCCACAGATTTCCTTGCTACACCAGGCAGTGCAGGTGATCAGGGCTGCAGGCTCCAGCCTGGAAGTGGAAGCCAGAGAAGGGAGGGGGAATCTGGAAACCAGCTGTTTTTCAGCTGAAGTGATGGAGGGAGGGTGTTAGAGCTCAGGGCCTGCAAATTAACCCCTTGTGGGCTCATGTAGTTCATGGGCCTTTAGTTGGACAGGCCTGGAGTAGAAAACAAAGTGAAAATGTTATGAACCCATTATATATATGCCAATGCTTTACCCTCATCTTGAATACTGTCTGGTTCTGGTCACCCTGCCTCAGAAAGGCAGACCTGAAAGGAGTTGAGATAAGTAACATAAAGGATTGGTAGCACATAAAGCAAGACTAAAGGGATTGGAGTGTTTCGCTGAGGGATTAGGCAAATAAGGGAAGACATGGAAGAGCCATGCAAATTAATGAATGAATGATATAGAGCAAGTTAATGAATAGGACACAACAGACAAGTCAGGTGCTCCTATTTTTCACAGACAAAAACAAGGGAACAAACAGCTGAAGGAACTGGAAAGCAAGAACTTATCAAACTTATTCATGAATTAATTATTTGTATGCATATAATATGCCTGTGGAACAAATTTCATTGGATATTATTGAAACCAAGAGCTTATTAGGATTCAAAAGAGATTAATATTTTTATAAATAATGAAAACAAATATAGTTGCATGAAGTAGCATATATTTTCCTGAAAAGGATGTATGCTCTCATGCTTCAGGCCTAAGCTAATCATTGATGGATGGGACATCCTTAATGGGCAGGTTAGTTCCTAACTGCTCAGTATAGGATTTCTTGTTCTTTCCTTTCCTGGCACTGGTTACCATTGAGAACAGGGCATCTAAGTAGATGCATCACTGTTTTGATTGAATATTGTAATGCTTATAATTGTCACAGACAGCAGCCCTTATTCTTTTGACAGCAGTGAGAGTCTTGCCATTGATAGCAATTAGACTAGGACTTCATCCATGGAATTTAGCCACACAACAGCTATTAAATGTAATGGAAATAAAGGGGTTTTGTCTTCATGCAACTCAGGATATGCTGGGATCACAAACAATTTTAGGAGCTCTTGTGAGACATTGGTTTGAGAGATATAACTAGTGGGACACACTTCCACTGAATGCAGTGGGTGCACAGACAATATTGTTCCTTGCACACAAGCTGGCTTTGGTTCTTAGTAAGCAGATGATTTCACACAGTCTGGAAGCACAGTTGTCCAACATGAATGCAGGTTTTACAAACACTTTTTACAGGCATGAAATTCACTTATGCATCTCTCTTTCACGAGTATAAAAAATTGTCCTGTGTTCAATTTTCCAGGTAGACTTTATTTATTTTGCCCTGATAATTTAATCCGTAATAGGAAAAAATTCTCAGTGGATATGCTACAGCTTTAAATAATGATCCTGTGGAAATTATGTAGTTCTAGCACCTTGTGTGCTGCTTTAGTAACAAGGCTAGTCATTGGGCCAAATGCATCTGGGGAGTGATTTCATTAAAGGCAGTGGAATGAATTTGGCTCAGCCTTTTTTAATTATCTTTGTGCTGTTGTGTAAGGGTACAGACGAACAAATTGCAGTGAGTTAAAAAGCTGCAGGGACTTACTGTATGTCAGCTGTTCTGGAGTAACTGTACATGTGCCTGCTTTTAACCTGCAGTTTATGAAAACTAACCTCTTTCACTGAGGGCCAAGTTGCTGAAGTTTAGCTCTCAATTACATTGGTACTGCTGCTGTTCAGTAAGTTCCTGCCTGCTTTTAACTCTATAATTTGTGCATTTATCCTTATCCCAAATTAACATATATTAAGACTTGAAAGCTTGCAACAGTAATAAAGCCATTTAGATACTAATCTGCTTCAGCTGGAACAGGAATGGATGAAAAAATGCCATGCTATTATCATGGTACATAGAGGAGCCAGTCATGGGCTGGCACTCTGTCACGCTTAGCAACGTGCAAACACAGAAGTTTCTAGGTACCCCACGCTCTGGTCTCATTTCTGGGTACACATAACTTGGCATGGAAAAAATCTCAATAAATAGGTACATTTTAAATACATTTCCCTTGGCATAGTCAGCTTTTTATATTATTTTAATCCATTGAACACTATCTATGCATTTTCCTTGTTTGGTAATCCTCTGTCAGGAGTTGTTATGGTAAGCAATAATAGTGGCAGGAGAGTTCTACTCTCCTCTCTTTCCAGAAAAGTGGAGACAGAAGTAAGCTTTGTGTCTTAACAACAGGAACTTCCATTTCCAAGCAGAAAAAATAGGTTTAACAACTGTACCCAGAAGTAGTGTAGGAAAACTGAAGAACCGATGCAGCCTCCAACAAGGAGCAACCAGTAATACTATAACCAGTCAGTTTCTCATCACAATCCCACAATGCTTTGCTGCTAGAGCTATGGTCAGGGTAAGAAACTGATGCCGGGGATTTTTTTGAAGGGGGTTGGGGTTCTGAATGGAAAAGGACTGAAAAAAGACTGTGGTAAAATACATAAACCAGATGGTAGGTACTCTGTTGCAATGGAGATTGGAAAAGAAGAAAATCATAAATAGTTTTCAGTTAGATGAGAAGGGCTCTTTGACTAAAAAAACTTGTTCTACATAGTTTGGGGCAGACGGGGCCCAAAACAGGCTGAACTTTTTGAACAAGTAGAGGTCATGACTGCGGGACATGAAGAAGGATGAACTGATATCAATAGTGGGAAGTGCTACACATATATTCCGGGAAGGCAAAAGCAACGGCCAAAGGGGACTCCCACTCATCTTCAGAAAACTCTTTCATTGAGATTCAGTTCCCAGCAGTACTTATGTGTTGGGGGTGTTGTAGTTTTGTCATGTAAATGAAAACCTTTTAGAGATTGTATACATTTGCATTTGTCTAAATGCATACACTGTTCAACACTTAAGCCCAACAGAGAAGAGCAGTGATTTCTGGACAGACCCATGACTGAAAGTCAAAGTGTCAGGCTTGATTCAAGCCCATTGACTCCTGGAAGGGTTCATACTGTACCTGAACAATCCTTTTTGTTTCTTCTTTCGTATGACATCAGATATCAACCCCCAAATCTATGATCCACTGTCTGGTATTTTCACTCAATATGCAGATTCCATCTGCCCCATCTGGGCATTTGTGAAGATTGCAGCTTTCAATTAACGTTGTGTTATTTATAGCAGTGGGTCTCAATCTTTTTTGTTCCAGGACCCATTTGCCAAGATCGAAGGCTTGTCCTGCCCCCTGGTCCTGCTGGTACCCAACCCAAAGTCCCCAGCCAGCACGATTCACCCCCAAGCCACAGTCCCCTGCCCCCTGGGCTATGCTGGTGCCTCTCACTCCAAATCCACAGTCCCTTGCCCCCCCCCCACCCCCAGCTGCCCCCATCCCACTTGGGCCAGAGTGCGAGCAGCGAGTGCAGGCCCCTAGGTGTATGGATACTAGCCCCATGCTGCCCACATGGGCATGTAGCTCCCCACTGCAAAGAAGTTCCCCCACCTCCTTCCCATGCTGAAGGGCCAGGCAGGCACCTTTTCCTTGCTGCTCCCCCTGCCCTGCCGCAGCCCTGCATTTGGCCACCATCCTCAGCGCACGTGCATGCGTGTGTGCATGCGTGCGTGCGCACACACCCATACACCCCCCCTCCAGCCCTCCAGACAGTCCCTGGACTTCCATCTCCTGCTCCCCATACACTTACCTGCATCCAAAGCCAGGGGCTGGTCTCACGACCCAGCCTCACTGTATGCTGGCCATGTGCATCTGTGCATGCAGATGCACGTGCGCCTGCTACCTCCAATCATCTCAAGCAGCTCTTGCAGGCTGGAACACTGCCAGCCTGCAAGGGGAAACCCATGCTTTCATGGGGTTTTTTGGGACTTCTTCATAATCCTTTCAAATATTCTTGTGACTCACTTGGGTCACGACCCACTGGTTGAGAAATGCTGGTTTATAGGACTCCACATTCACACAGGGGGCTGTCCAAGATGCTTATCTTGTACAGTGTTGATTTGAAGCATCTGTATCCAGATCTCTGTCTGTTCAGCTTAACCCATACTTCTCTGTCAAGATCGTGCCCAATGGGGGACTTGTTTGGCATTGGTGTAAAATGCTGTAGGAAAAGGTCTGATTTTTCTCAATGGGTTTGGTTCAGCATACCAAATCTCTTCCAGGAGCTTGCGGGCTTCATGTAAATGGTTTACAACTTCTAAACCTCTTCAGCCTCCATCTATTTGGGTCTTCAGTTAACAGCTGATGGAGCAGGTGATTTTCATCATCTCTTGCCTCTATTGCTACTAATGATGTTAGAGTCTGTCTTCTTCCATCACAGTTGTTGTGTGGAACAGCTCTTGCTGTATAAAGAGGTGGACTTTGGAGAGATTGAAGGAGTCACATTCCAGGTTGGAAAGTAGGACTGATCCTGGACCACAGAACAGGAAGTGAGGGGCAGGGGGTAGGTGAATTTTAGGCTCTTGTTTATATTGTGTTCAAGTTTTGAAGTCTTGAAACATGAATTGTTAAACTCTTTATTGCTTTAATGCAAAAAACAAC